GCTGAGCCAACCACAGGCATGAATGATGCCACAAACATCAAAACTGCTCATAAATATTGAGCACCAGAATGAAAATATACTTGGAGGAGCGCTAAAACAAAATGGAGTTATTCCAGCAAGAGATCCATCAATTTATTAAAACACCTGATTCACATTCCTTTGCTAGCAGTTTGTAAAAGGTTCACAGATCACCCCAGACAGTTCAAAAAACATCAACATTCTAGACAGCACAAGACTTCTCTGCCTTCAAGTACAACGAGTATTTTCAGGTACAAATGCTTTCACACACTGCACTACTGGCACTTAACAGCAAAATCATCTCACATCTTATTAAATTACAAAAGAAAAGAAGCCTTGTGTGATGACTGCAGAAAATTTAATTTGGTATTAAGGGATACTCTTCTAATTAATTAATGCTTCATTTAGTGGCTAAATTGTTCCCAGTGTAATAAGTATAAAAACATGTACCTAGTTTTTATTTTCTTCTTTTAATTCAGTACCATACAATTAAAAGCAAAGCAAGACTAGGCTACAAAAGAAATCTGTTGAGCAAAATGAAGATACTAGTTTAAATGTTAGTAATAGATGCAGTCATTTTTCCCAGTAAACTTTAGAGACTGCATACGCAAACTCCTAAAGACTTTCTGAGACAATCTGGGAAAATCCTGAGTTATTATCCATCCTTCAACTGGAGTATCCAGCAGTTAAAATATAATAAATTACAATTAAACTAAAACAATCATTTAACACAAAAAGCATGGGTAATACTTAATATATATCTGTATATTTTTAATCTTCACAGACCATCACTTTCAGAAATAGCTGAGGGAGACACAGAGATGTGATCTGGCAAAAAACAACTCTAGAGGGAGAAAAGAAGCTCTGAGAAGGGAGAGCCATTAAGGCCACTGAGAACACAGACACCACAGTGGCCCTGAACTGCCAACAGTCAGAGGTAGGGAGAACACCCAAAATTCTTTTTTGCCACCTGATTCCCTTTCTTAGCTGCCACTGTCAGAGACAGGCTGTTGGATTTTTGGTGCAATGCAGTTACAGCTGTTCTGATGTTCTTAATCTCAAGGATCTATGTAAAACCACATGTAATTCCTCCTGCATAAGGTAAATATGGTTCTACAGTCACTCCAATCAGGAATAAGTCTGACCTACTGCCAGAGATGGACTTCCCAAGGCAGGGTAAGCAGTGATACAAATACAGCTTCACTTGGACAGGGAGGGAACCTCAAGGGACACAGATCCCCATGTGCCAAGAAGTGCAGGTAAGAACAAGTGAGGAACCCTGTGCATCCCTGATTTCTGGAAAGACAAGGAAGAACTGGTGGCACCATGAAAAAGTCCATTTCAACACACTAGGTACTTGGTTACTTATCTTAAAATACTTGCTGGCATATAATGGAGCCATATTTATTCTGAACTATGTCTAATCAACACCAAGATTACCTTTTATTAGTTGAGCATAAGCAGAGGCAGCAATTTTTAAAATATTTTTTCTCTCAAAATCACCCTCTACTCTGTAGTGAACTGCTAACAACAATAAAGGGTGACTGGTAATGCATGGAATATGCAGAATCATCAAGGCACAGATCTGTTCATGTTTTGGTACTGACCACCTCCTAAAGTTACTGATGATCCATTCTCTCTGATGTTTTAGGGGAACAAAACTCCTTTGCAGATGAGAAAGCAGAACACTTCTACGCTTGGTTTGACCACCACTAGTACAAACTTCATTACAGATAACTGGTCATGACTCACGAGAAATTTGCAGTCTGAGTCCTAAACAAAATCTCATAACAAGTTCTTTATTTTCCTGTCATCTTAACAGCAGGGTCAGAGACCAATATAGAGATGTCTGAAGATTTTATCTACCAGTCAGTCTCTGCCTGGGTGGCTCAGCTGAAGAGAAGAGGTTCACCCAAGCCTTCATTCCCACCAGTGGGCAGCTGAGCACATGAGAAATGCTGATAGAGACCCTTCTGCCTATGGAAGTTCAGAGTAGGGAAATGTAAAGGATATAGCTGTCACCACAACATAATATAACTAAAAAATAAATATATGGAAGAAATAAATGACAAAAAGCAGAAGAGTATCGTGTTTAACTATGAAAACAAAAACCATTAAAGAAGTTCTATGAACAGCCTTAATGGAGTAACTCTTGAAAATGCACCTGTAGAAAGGATGAGCAGAAGGTCATGGCACACTTCATACACAGAGAGCTGATGACAGAACAATTTCTGATGCACTGACTGTACAAAAGGTTACAGAGCAAATGAAAACCACTGACAACTGTGTGATACCAACTTAATTTGGGCATCAAATAGATTTACAGAGTTCAAGCAAGACACAAGCTACACCCCATGACAGAGGCAAAGATTTTATGCAAAGAGCAGTCCTGGAGTTATGTATACTTTAAATAGAAAAAAATTAAACTGATTTTATTTCCCTGGAAGAAGCAACCAGCAATAAGCCTGAAGAGAAGTAATAAATGAATCCTGCTGTGAGAACCAAAATAGAGAAGCTTAGAAGTGAGAATTGAATTCAGCAACAGACTTTTATGAATTGGCATCAAAAGCCAGAAAAATCTAACAACTAAAAAAAAAATCTGAAAGCAAACAGTGGGAGCAGATAGATCAGAAACAAAAGCACATTATTTCCATGTAATATCAGAATATATAATTGAATTTTCCTGGGTTTTCATTGCTGGAAGCAAACTTAGGAGCACTAGAAAAAAAGTATGTTCATATTACAGGGAAATAATTAAATATTGAGAAATAATATGTTTGGCCAAATACAAATATATGGCACTTGTTTGAAAACTGCAATATTGATAAATATATGGAAGACAGAACAGAAAACAGAACAAAAAAACCTGCATCAAAACTATTAAAAACAAACATGACAACCATTCCTAATTGTTACACCAAAATCCCTAAGCTATTACAAAAAAATACAAATATAAAGATAGCAATAAGTTTGGTTTACAGAACCTTGGTTTCACATGAGATGACTGTCCAGAAGTTAAAAAATATTCAATCACATTTGAATTGCATTCTTTTTCCTACTATAGGGTTTCTTTAATTTTATAGGATATTTTTACCATCAGTAATTTTTTCAAAGGTGCCCAAGCAATGCATACTCCTGAAATTAGGGCTCAAGTAGTTTATGCCTGTTTGTACCCAAGGCCTTCAAACACTCTGGCCTATTCCTTTACTATTTGAGTATAATCCCTCCCCTGCTGAGATGGTGCTGTGTACTTTTTCTCCTACCTGCAGAGTGGGCATGTGTGTGTCTATGCCTATGTGCTTTGTGCATAGAGGTATGGATGTGTGAATATACAGACACACATCCATATACACATACAAATGCATATACATGCAATACCCACATGCATATACAAATTCTCCACTTCAAGACAATTCCTTTGTATCTGAATTCCAAAGGTTTCTTAATACAAACATGCAGACAATTTTTTTTTTATTTAATCTGCAGGAGACTTGTGTCAGCATCTCTTTTGAAATAGATAAAATGTAGCAAAGTCAATTCCACATACACACAGAGTCATCAAATATCAAAGCAGTCAGCCGTTCCTTTCCATTTGGCTCCTGCAAATATCAATAACTCTAAGTCAACTATACTACATAAAGTATATTGTATGTTCTGTACCACAGTAAAACCAGAAAATAGACTCCAGATGTTTCCTCAATTCCTGCCAAAAACAAAATTTGAAAAAGTGCTGAAAACCAAACAAAGTTGGAAGCTCTGTTGTAGGGAAAAAAGGCATAAGGAATCCATAGCTTTGTTACAAGTAAATTTGTTCTGTCTTCACCTACTAGATAAGAAGGGTCAATCCTGAATAAGTGTAAACACAGAAACTATGAAGAACAAAAATCCTCATTTCATTTCTTTCCTGTGTATTACTTCTTTAAAAATAAATCTCATACTTTCTAGGTTTGAGACAGGAAATTTTAAATAACTTACATTCATTTGCAATATTTGATTTCTGTGAGACTTAAAAGAGGCTTAGGTTTTAGCTACACTAAAAGTAATATTGAGAATGGGACTTAGGACCTAATTTTCCTACTAATTTGTACTATTCTCATGTTAGTCAGCATTAAAATAAACTAACTGATACTGCCTAAGTCCTGGGTTGGTGAAATGCAAAGTAAAGGAGGTTTGCTTAAATAATGTTTCAGAGCAGGAATGACTGTTGGCTTTGGATTGCATGGGCTGAAGAGTGTTTTGGCCCATTGTTTCTCCTTTGCATATCAAAACCAAGAGCTGCAGCACAGCAGCTTATTAAAAACCACACAACACACTCAAAACCAATCCTCTGTGCAGGGTCTTGAGGTGCAACTCACCTGGCCCCACACATCCTGTAAAGACCTCTGAACTCATCAAAGCATAAGAGGGTAAGAAACATTTCTAATGGCAACTTGGATGACCTTATTTATTTTACAATAAATAAAAATTTGTCTTCAGGATGTGTCAGTGCTTTCTCTCAGATTCAGTGGAAGTCTACACAAATAGTTTATCCTTCACCTGCTGTCCTGATGGGGAAGAAATCAGAATTGCAACTTCCAGTGCAGAGGGCTCCAAACTGCTTGTGTGAGCAGGTATTGTCAAAAAAACAAGTGAACAAAAAAGGCTTGGATTCATCATTATTTTCATACACTTTTTGCCCACATAAACCTTGCTACATAATATACTTTAATGAACTGCTGAATATCAACATATATTTCTAACTTAGGAGTAACGAACAAAATAATGGAGAATTTGAAACATATGACCCTGCCAGGTCTCTTGTTCTTCAGCAGGATACATAACAGCCCTAAATCAGAACCCATTCAGTCCTGTACTTTATCCTATACAGCCTGTTGGACCAATGCAGTCATGAGAAAATACTACTGTTTACAAAAGCATAGCTTAGACTGGACTCCAGTCAGGATACACTGAATTGTGAGGAGGAACACAAGGAGACATTTTACCTGCATAGCACTCTTTCCCAGCTTAACCACCTCGAACAAGGTGACAGGGTCCCCCTCTCCATTCTGCTGCGGGTGGCCGTTGGCTCTGCCACGACTCGCCCCTCGAGCTCCAGCGTCGGAACGCCCCTTGTCCGCCGGGGACTTCCGGGGTTTCTTCGTGGCAGACTGGGCAAAGAAAACCAGCAGAGGGAAAGTTTATTATAGCTACATCTGAAATCACCCAGTGTTTCTTTAGACACCCAGCTTATCTTTATAATCCATAGGCATTACGTGGTTACACCCTCACATACACTTATGCACACAAAAATCATGGGATGAGCCAGGCTGGAAGCATCTCCACGGTCTCCAGCCTGACCTCCTGCTCACAGCACGGTCAGCTAGGAAAATCAACCAGGCTGCTCAGGACTTCATCCAGTCAGGTACACATGATTTCATTTATCAGTAGCTCTTGAGGGACTATTTAAAAGCCACTACCACGCCAAGGTAAGCAGTGATTACCCCAAGACAGTAGTGAAGTCCCAATGCTGGAGTAGCAGTCCATGTCAGTCTCGGGACTTACACAACACAGATATTGAGAGTCTTACACAAACACAGATATTGAGAATAAACTGGTGATCTTAACTAATGATCTTTTTAAGACAGAAAGTTATTAAAAATACATTTGCCACATTAGCATTCATTTTCTGTATTTTCATTTTCATACAACTTTTATAAGAAACTGTGTACATAGTCAGCTCTCCAACTCAAATCACCGAATTTGTACAGCCAGATTTAGTAGATCACCATAACAGCATCTTTCTTCAAAATTATATGAGTTAAAACATTTTCCCTTTGAGTCTAAATTACTTAATGTAAATTTTCTCTCTGTTCTTCAATGTTTTAATCAGGTGGTATAGACACCACCTGTCAAGATTCACCTACTGAACAGTTTGCTTTGAATTTAGGCCACTTGTGAAATAGACGAAAAAATTCTGGGGAAAATAACATCAGATTTCTTACTTCCATATTCTATTCTTTCTCCCTACTGTGAGGCAAACAAAAGCAAAATCTGCTGTTTTCCACACAACAATGAAGCTATTGTGAGGAATTATGTTAAAGAAGACAACACACAAGCAACTAAAAGACTAAATTTTGGACAATATCCTGATGGCACCGTTTACTCAAGTATATTGTCAGATGAGTTTCTATTAATGCTTTTAGTAAAGAACACAAAGTCAACATATTCAATTGTATATTACAGTGCAGGCACATTGAGAATTTTACTGCAGAGGAAAGGGATCTAATTTCTGGCACAGAGCTGGTAGAAGACAGCCCTCCAAGTCCAGCTTTCCCCATGCTTTAAAAGAGATCACTGCTTTAAAAGATGTAGGGCCAGAGGGCTGAAGCAAAGGGCAAGGTAGAGTGCAACTGCCTCTTGGAAATATTCAATTAAGGACTTGCATAGAAGTGCAAGCTGGAAAGCTTAAAATAATGGTACAATCTCTGAAGTTTTTTGGATAACACTTGCACTTAGGATTTAGAGTATCTCCTCCAATGAATTTTTAAATATGTGCAAATTTGCCTGTAACAGCAAGAATATTATCAACATGTGAAATGTTTAAGTTCTACTGAACTTGAAAGAGACATGTGATCACTATTTATTAAAATGAGAAAGAATTAGAAGTAAATTGACTCTCGAGAGATATAATCCATACACTTATTCCACCTGGGAGACAGTAAGCACTTCACCTAGCTACAAAGACTGCTAAAAGAAAGCTTGAATGCAAACTGATGCCCTCCACAGAAAGTAATGCAAGCCCCCTCTACACTTAGTTTTTCTCAACTGAAATTGAGAAATTCAATTTTTTTTCAATTGAAAGAGAGGCATTAAATGCTGCAAGAATGAAGGGAAAATAAGTAAGAGATGGATGTGAAATGCACATATCCAAAGCTACACCTTGTTAATGAAAGCAATGAGAAAAGCCACCTGGTTTGAGTACCTGAGCATGAGTACTACAGACACAGGCTCCAAATGTGTGATCACCAGGCATGTAAATGCCCACTTTAAATTCCCTTTGTCAGGTATCCAGGGAAAAGGGAGGTGCTTTGACCAAGGCTCCCAGTCTGAACTGGAAGGGTGAGATCACCACTGAGCCCTCAGAAGAGGTACAGAAATAACTGACAGATGTACTTGTGACAAATTACTGGGTAAAGCCAGTTCTTCAGATCCAAGTAAACACCTCAATATCCTGGCCCTGAATTAGCACCACATCTATTACTGAGTCTACTTGACTAAAATTTCTCTCTGGTGTAGATCTTCTTTTGACAATGAAAACATCTCTCAGAGTGGAGAAAAATTCTGCATCTAACAAAAGCCATTGTGTATCCAAGCTGGGGTAGCAAGATCCAGATGCAGGATCTGTATTGAATCCTGCCTCTAGAGACAAAACAAGTAGACATGATGCTCCACTCAAGACTGAAGAAAACCCCAGATGTGAACTTTCTGAGCTAGGCAAGGATTAACATTGTCTTCAGGTGGAAAGGCACTAGCAAAAGGGCATCCACCCAGCACTTCCACCAGCAGGCATCTGGCAGGAAGCCCAAGTTCAATCTCACTCCAGAGTGTGAAGATGAAAGAAAGGCTTATATAGGTCCTCCAACAACTGCCTTGTGCTCTGAAGTTTTGCAAGCACAAAGCACATGACGTTCCCTTAGTCATTAACACACAATATTACAATGCAGCTGTCAAACATTATTTGCACATAATGTCTCTGAATTTACAGCAAGAAACTTTGCAGGCCACGTTGACAGGCTTGAGCTTCATACAGGTTCCCGCCTCTGAGCACAAAGTTCAGTAGGAAATCCTACTTCAAAGAGACCAATCAGACCAATCAGGGAATTTGGGGTTTCCTCAACACTGGACACTTCAGATTCAGCTGGACAGGCTACTAGGGCATCTTTTCTAGATTGTGTTTTTGCAAGACAAGGTTGAACCAAATGGTTTGTGAGGTCCCTTCCTGGGATGTGGTATTCTATGATTGTATCCCAGGATGGAGACATCCTCCACCACCAGTGGAGCAAGTGAAGGAAAAGGCAGGACTGGTACATCCGTAGAAACACAGAGAAGACTCACTCATGATACAGAGCATCCATAGCATACCTCCAAAGGCAGGGTGCACTTGGAAGTGGAGTTGTACAAGGTACAAATATAAAAATTATGTTTGGCTTTGAGGATGTCAGACACAGGTAACTGCATCCCAGAAAAGAGACACATGTAGTCACAGGAAAGAGTGATCCTTCTGCAAAAAACAAAGAAACCCGTTCTCTAACACCATTGAGAGCTTCCACACAGAAACAGCTCTGCTCAAGAAAGAGTGTGGCCCCAGTAAACCTGTCAGACTATCACTGACAGCTGTAAAACGAGATGTTCCATAAGATCAGAGTGAATTTGTGGCAGGTCTGCTCTTGTGGATCCACCAAATACTCATCAAGACACGGGAAAAACAGAACCTCTGAGTCCTAACAGGAGCAAAAACTGTGATTATTCCACACCATTTTACAGCCTTCAACCAGAAAGTTCCCCCCTGAAGTGGGTGAATTAGGACTGCCAAAGGGAGGGATAAAGCAGCATGCCAAGGTAAGAATGCTTGAGGCTTTTTAATCACACACCAAGAAAGGTGCTGCCTGGAGCTGAGAGGCAGCAGCAGTTGCATGTGTGATTTCACTCCTAAACCCAGGACAGCTGGGCTGGTGTGCTGTCAAAATGGACTGAGGTGCCACATGAAAACAGAAATTACTTATGACTTTTCAAATTTGTGACAACAAAAGCTGAGGGTTTATATACACCAGCATTAGGAAATTCAGAAGTTGCAGAATATGTCACAGAAGCAACAACCAAAAATGGCCATATTGACTGTCACATACCTCACCTGTTGTTTTAAGGCTTAAATGAATGCAAACAGGAAACAAAATACTCACCTTGACTGCAATTAAACTAAAATGATGGTAGTTCAGGATTTTGCAACAAATTAGCTACACAATACTTCTCCTTTCATGTCTTTAAAATTATTGTGAAGAAAATAGTGACCCAAATTTGTAAAATCAAGTAATACAGAGAAAATTGATTCACACAAAACCAAAAAAAAAAAAGAGAAGTGGCTTGACATTTTCTATTAACTGTCCCCAAGTTGATATGATGGACTTCATGAAGAAATAAAGGCAGTGAAAGTCCTAGAGTCAGTAACTGCTCCTAACACACCACCTGAAAACAATGACCTGTATGTGCATTCACACTGTGAATCATTCAGAGGAATGAATACCCCACTTCCCTGGGAAGGTGGAAGAAACTTTTTAATCTCCACTTGAGTAATACTGAAGAACTTGCCTCTCCAAGGCACCAGCCCCTCAAGAAGCCCTGTGTTATAAGCTTGTGTTAAGTAGAAGAATGGTAATGCCTGAGGTCTTCATGAATTAATCCAGATTAAAAAACCACTATGACACATTTCATACCATCTACATGGTTACTGAGGGAGAAGGTTCTTGGATTCCCACAGTCCTGTGGGCTGTTTTGTTCATAGAAACAAACAAGGTGCTCCCTGTGAAAAGTCTCATCCTACAAATAAAGGCAGGTGCAGGTCCCCTAACATCCAGAGCTGCTTCAGCTGCAGCACTTACAGTTTAAGACAAAAAAAAGCAGAGGCAGTGTTGGGAGTGGTGGTGCTATTTTTTACCCTTATTTAAAAATCTATCAAGAGCTCTCAAAGTCATCTTAAAGAATCAAGAGAGTATGCTGTAAATGCTTGAATAATTTCAATTATTCTAGCTAAGGCATTTACTACCAAAAAAAGACTATTTCCACAGAAAAATGAAGAATAGATTAGATTGCCAAAAATACAAGAACCATCTCATCAAAAGCTTAAAAGGAAAACTTCTAATGCTACAGGTAACAGGACAGAAAAATCTTCACAAAGATGCTATAGATGCACTGCATTTCTACTGAACTATAGACTCCCTTCAGTTGTAAGGGACAGACCTAAATCATCAGGCAGGCAAGCTGAAACAGGACACTGATGTAAATCACACCAACCACAAACCTCCACTGTATGAAAAGAAATTCTTCTAAGAGGATTGCTCCCTGTTATTAATCAGGACACGTATGACTTGCAACTAGAAGCAAAACTCAATCCCCTGCTGTATCTAACATCTATACTGCAAGATTAAATAAGGCCAGGAATCTGCAGCGAAGTTAAAATTCCCCATCTGAATGCAAAGATAAGGCATTGTGGTCTGTCTCCTCCCTACCAAAAACTACAAAAGGACCTGAAAGCAAAATTGTACAAGCTTTGCTTGGCACAAAAGCATCAGAAGTGCCTTGTTTCATCTGGCTTTAAGTCGATAAAGATACACTGTGGCTCTGAGTACAGGATGAGAGAGAAACCAGCAGAGATCTCCAAATTGCCACCTCTGGAACAGACAAACTGATGTTTCTCCCTGTCCTCTGAATTAGAGAGTAAATCTGTCTACTCCTACTTCAAATCTGAAGCACGGCCAGGGTTCTCTCTCACTGCCTCAACCTCCAGCAGCTGAGATTTAAGCCAAGCTATTCTGAGCTCCTGGGAAGGTGAGGGCCAGGTAGTTTCAAATAAAGCATGCCAACAATGCTGAGTGTAGTGATGATCCAAAAGAGGAGACAAAAAAGGATGGGTATATAACTGATCTGAGCTTGAGCTCACTGATGTGAATACTACACTGCATCATAAGCCCTTGGGCTTTCAAATCCCCTGTGCAGAACAGGAGAGCACATCCATACCCATGTATTTCAATAATGCAGCAGACAGAGAGGGCATTTTGGCCAGTATCACTCAGGAACTTCAAGGACAGGACTGTCAGAAGTCACTCCTTAAATAAAATCTATTAAATTCTATTCCAAGAATTCATTAATTACATACCCAGACAGTATCCTCACATACAGCATCACAAACATGAGCACCACAACATGGCACTGGCTGGACAGGCTCAGCTCTTGGGCATCTGCTGTATGAGACTGTGCTTAGAAGGGCACTGGGCCCTGCCACAGGAGCAGGACATGGTGCAGCCCCTGCTAAACTCACAGCAAAGGCCAGGCAATTGAGGACAGTCAGGTTAGGTTCTGAGAGCTATTCTGCAAGACCAATGCACTGCACCTATTTGCAAATTGACTGTCTAGCCTACTCAGTCAAGTACTCATTAGAACAGAGTGTAAAAGTGAAGGAGCTACTTGAAATGTGGTGTTTTAGAATAGAATGACTTGGATTGAAAGGAAATCTTAAAGACCAACTAGTTCCAAGTGTTTTAGAAAGTGAAGGTACCCGCAAAGCATTACAGTTCTCTAAGAACTGTTTGCTACAAAAGGCAGTTTTTCAAATGAGTACCATCTTCGTAAAAAGGTCTCATATCTGCAGAGAATGTCTTTATCTGGAAAACAATCTGGAAAATCCTCTTGTAGTAGTGTATCTTTTTGATAAAAAGTCAAGTCCATTATGTGACACAGCAGAAACCTGTTTAAAATACATACATATATTTAATGGAACATATTCTATGCAGCTCTGTAACAGGATCATGCAGCACAAAGTCCCTTTCCAAGAGGTCAGTACATTTATGGCAGATGTGCCACTGTAGCAGTGATGGCCTAAGGATACCAGCAAATCAGCAGGAAGAGATTAAATCTTATTAGATCATAATATTTAAGTTAGAAAAAAATCCCAGCCACAGAAATCAGAAGAGCCTTTGAGCTACCATTCTTCAGATCTATAACAAATTAAAATAGTCTAAGCTAAATCTAATCTAAGTTAAGAAAAACATTTCTGAACTTCACTAAACCTTTTGATCTGTTTCACATCCGACAGTAAAGGTAGGTGGTACCTGTGAAGGAAACAAAAACCACAGTAGTGAAGAGTTGAGGGGGGTGGGGGGTTGAATGTCAGAGCTCACCTCCAGTAAGAACCAAGCAATTCACCTGAGGGAAGTGGCTGGGCTGGCAACATGGTTTGATAAAGCAATACAATTACCAAGTCCCTGGCTTTTAACATCAAATAATGCTGTAAATTCAATTGCCTGGGTTAGTCTTTCCAAGGTTTCTGCATCTATCCTTTAGTCTTTAGAGTGGCTTTTTGCTTTTGGGGCCTTTTTTTTTTTTTTTTTAGAAGAATCAAGGAAGAAATTCATCAATAAGTAAAATGGAATAGGCACCTAAGAGAAGCTGTGCAGTCTCCAGCCTTGGCAGTTTTCATAATCAAACTGGAAAAGCCATGAGCAAAGTGGTCTGATCCCAAAGCTGACCCCACTCTGACTAGGAGGCTGCAATGAGATCTGCTGAGTCCCATTCCATAAACTACCATATTGCTTTTCCTCTCTGAAACTCTTCCAGTCCTAATCTGCTCTTTCCTGATATTTTGGGATGGAGGTGAAAAAGGAAAGTAGAACTGAGCAAATTCTTCCAAATCTTGGCAAACTGAAGTTTTATAAAGGACACTGTATTTGTGTCATTCTCTGTTTTCTTCCTCTGAGTTTTAAGACTGGATTTGGGGTTTCTTGACTCCTCTTAAGCATTAAGATGACACTTCCACAGAATTCCCCCTGATAACCCTAAGGTCCTGCTCCTTAGCAGCAGCAGCCAGCTCACAGCCCATCACTTTGTGACTGAAGCAATGGCTGCTTCCTCTGCATGTTCATCACTTGACAATCACACCTAATGAGCCTGGAGTTGTTCTAAGCAAAATGAGCAATTCCTCCCCTAGAAACCTGATAGCAGGACCAGCAGAGTGCTTAGCAAATGTTCCCACAGGAGCTACTAACAAAGTGAAGCAGAGGAATGAGAAATGCTTTTTGTAACATTCACCTTTCCCTTCCAGTGAGTATGTGCTGGGTACAAAATACCCCTGGCATTGGTATAACTTGAATTTGCATATTATGACAACATTCTGGGTTAGCAATCAGGTTGCACCAGCCTGCTTTTTTTTATTAGAGTTACAAAACCCCATAGATTTGCTAATTAAATATTCATAAGATAATTTTTCATTTTATCCTTTGCTTACAAGCTATGTAAACAGATAAGCTGTTCTCTCTAAACACTTCTTTAAGGCTTGCTCTGAAGAGGCTTCATGTTCATGAGCAAATCCATGTATCTGCTGAAGAACATATGCATCATAGGAAAGCATTTGAAAACTTTCAAAAAGGAAAACAACATGCCCAGAAAAGACCAGGATTTAAAATGTTGGCACCTTGACTAGGTCCAGAGACTGTGAAACAAATTGAAAGCCAACAGTAAAGAGGAATTTGCTCCAGCTTGGCCAGCATGCTTGAGAGTAACACATGGATCTATCCATTCTTACATTCTCACCAAGCCCGTGGTTTGAGATAAGCCTTAGGATCAAAGCCCTCAGGGTTTAAAAAAAAATCATCCCCATCTACTAGTGCTATACAGACATAGGGCACATTCATATTGTGAGTTTATTCACAGAGCAACACTAAGAGGTGAATCAAACTCATTAACAACAAACACACAAGTTCCCAAGTCAGTCCACACTGGGTGCTTCAAGTAATACAGCCAAGGGAACTAAACTGATCAGCTTCAAGAACCAAGATGAAGGACATGACACACAGAACTTTCCCTTTATTTTCCAATAAATTGTCTGTTTTATAAAATAGATGAAAATGAGAGAAAGCCTCCCAATACCCTGTGTAATAGAGAACTGCTTTCTCTATGTTCCTACTGACAGGCCAGCAGAGACAACCCTATCACCTGCTGCACTGTGCCAGGGGATATGTTGAATCTTCCAGTCTGTAAGCAGAATGCAGTGTGTGTCAATCACATGACTTTTAAAGGGGTTAATAGATTTTTCAGGAATCGAGTCAACATCATGCTGTAATTCTTCCACTCACATGAAGAGATTATCAGTAATAAAAGGATGGCTCAAGTGTCACTTAAACCATTACAATTTTCAAGAAGACAGTGGTTGTATTAACTGAGGCTATTCTCATATCTGGAAGAATGTTGTAATGACAATAATAACAAAATGGTGTTGTTCATGAAAGCAGCTAGCAAAAGAAAAATTTATAGCTATTATGACATCATTTTTATGTCCTTTTTTAAAGACTCCAAACATCGTTTGCATATCAATTTGATAAATATTTCATAAAACAAGTCTTCATAAAGTCTGACATAGGACTCATTAAAAGCCTATTTATGTGACCACAACATGAGCAGGTGAAAAAAGAGCCTGCAGTCAATTATAAATAGATGCATAACAAAACAAAAATAAATTAAATAGATGCATAAGAAAACCAAAATAAATTACACATACTGGAGGCCTGCCGGGACGGCCCCTTTTTCTTTTTCCTTTGACTTCTGCTTCTTCAAGCTCACTGCCAGCATCTGAATGTGCAGTAGTTTCATTTGTAGAATCCCTAGGGAGGAAAATATATTAGATAAATGCAAATGGTCTGAAATCAACTAGTAATCTGTAACTGACCAATTAAATACTTAGTCCTGAGCCAGAAAACAAATAAACAACAACAAAAAAGTCAGCATTAAAAGGCTTTCCCCATTTATTCTGCAAACCAGGGAAATGAGCATTGTTAGCCCTGGCAAAAGGCCTTCCCTTTCATCAGCTGCAATGTCATTTTATTGCCTGGAATTCTTAAAATCAATTTTCATTTGAAAACATGTTACACTTCAAAACTGGCTATATTAGCTAGCACATGCTCAATTCATCAATCCCACAATGCATTCACTACCAAGAACTTCCTTTTACTCTCTGTAGCTGCTTCTGAGCTGTTCTCAAGGCCCCGGGAGCAATGTGGAGTCCAATCCAGCTGTCTCATCATCAGCACAGTTACACAAGGTTCCACACAGCTCTCAGTCACACCCCAAGACAAGGGGCTTGGGCAGCTATTAATGAAGAGGATTCATGCTGACTGTGAGGCCCAAACCCAAAAACTCCCTTTGATCTGAAGACATTTATAATTTTTACAATTAGAAATGTATTTTCACTTGTACTTTGGAAAGGCTTTGACATTGCTCAACTTCTGTTAGCAGAGAAGCCCAAACAATAATTTCTCATTTGTAGCCATTTCAGATTTAAGTTCATGATAAGAAAAAAAGTTCCCCTAATTTTCACCACCTCTTTCCAAACAGACATGGCTGCTTGAAGAAACTCAAATTGTAATTGATCTTTTCAGGCATTAGATCTTGCCCAAGAGCAGCTGACATGCAAAACCATACCTGTTACTGATGGGCTTTATTTTTACAGTGCAAGACCACCAGTGCACCAGATCTCTATACATTTTCATTTACAACTAAAAATGTCCTAGGTTACTCAAGGATGAGTCAAGCGTAGTTACAATCATAGACTTCTTTAAATCCAAAATAATTTCCTTGAAGTCAAAGGGGTTCAGTTGCTGTATGACTTGTGCAAAGGGAAGGTGAAAACCAGACCTATTCCATATTTTATAGAGCCTCAAACATCAACAGCAGCATTAGTGATCTGCTCTAGAAAAACTGAGCAAGCAAAGCTCTACACACATCTTCCACTTTGTCTGAGGGTTCTTTTGTATTTTGCTTTATAGACCAGGAATACTTCACAAATTTTTTGTATCACCAAGAAAGCTATTTAATAATGCAGAAAGATATTACTGAATCAGAACTGGGAATGTTCTCATACTCCTCTTTACTGAAATTACTGTGTTGTCTACGTCTGCTCTCACTCAAATCTGCAGAACTATGATGAATTTCTAGTATTAAGACATTGCTTTCCAACCTTTTCCTATTTGCAAGCACAAAACCACCAAGGGATGCACAGAATCTTTCACAAAACCAGAATGCAGAAGAACATATATGAATCTCTTTTACTGACAGTAACTTCAGTGGATTATCTCTAAATTCTCTATACACCCTAGAAAATCAGGCACCCTAGATGAAAAACCACTATTCAGAAATTACATGCTTGTAATGCAGTACCTCCACAAAATATTGAAAATGCAGCTTTGTTGTGATACAATTAAAAAGCAGCTTTTGCACTTCATAAAATATGAAATCTGAAAAACTTAGCATCAAGCTATGTATTTTGAAAAACACCCAAAAATGTAAGAAGTCTAAAATCAAATAAAAGATATCCCAAGCAGAGTTCAAATTGCTTGGTAAATTAGGGCCACAGCAGAGAAAAGCAATGCAGTAAATACAGCTGAAAACATGCTTATGCAGATGGATGTATCCAGCCTTTACTCAAATACCTCATCACACTGCAAGTCAATTTGACAAAAATGCACACTGGCTCACAATGGCAATTTTAATAGATTTTGAATACAGAAGTAAGGAACCCCATAAAAATATTTGCTTCCTCCTATTGCTGTGGAGAGAAAACCATTCTCTATTGCTCTCTCTCTCAAAAAAAAAAAAAATCAAAGCTTTTCTCTCTGGTTTGCTCAGATCCTTATTGGAAAAGTTCCAGGCATGGTGTGTCTATCTAAACAATACCCCCATTCCTGGGGAAACACTGTGCTTTGCTAGCTTACAAACTTGCACCCCTAGGATCATCAGGATAAAGATTTCTCTCTATTAAAAACAGATTCAGCAATCCTCGTAGACAAACACCTCAAACCTTTCCCTTGAAACACCAGAGCTATATAAATAAATTAAACTCTACTACTGCTTCACATGCATCTGCTCCACAGAGAATTCGACTTTCTGCTGATTTACAGCCTCAGTCCAGCCCAGCAAAACCTCCAGATAAATCTGCCTATTTAGCTCTGGAAATTTCAAATCTTTCCAAGCACTGCATATGGAAGGAACAGTCAAGCTATTAACCACCTTCTATTCTTTGCCTTAAACAGACTGTTGCCTTAAACCTGATTCTCTTAATATTCTTCTGGTAAAACTTCTCTGATTTGCTGGAAGCCTCTTTGGCCATTTCCCTTTATGGGTAAAGCTCAATAAATTAGTACTAAGGGTGAGATTCAGCTAATCTAAATTAGAGACATATGCAATGCAGAAAATCTTAATGTACAAGACACCTCACACTAAGATCAGTGTCCAAACCTGGTCAGACAGTTTAAGTCTTATAAATTTTCTCTCCATTGATAGGGTGATCAAGACAAGCAGCTTGAATATAAATGTTTCAAATTAAACAAAGTAATTCTCACCCTAACAACATATGAGGAAGAAAATAAACTTCTTTCTAGCAAGAATGTATGTAAGGAGCAAGGGGAAAACATCAAAAACTAGGTTCCCTTCAATCCTCACATTATTTGGAGCAGGGAGACAAGATCAAGGACAACCTCCAGTCTTCAGCTAGTTTCATATTAAAATAAACATCATTTCAAGCAGCAAGGAACTCTGCTTGAATCATCCAGCTCCTGCACAAAAAGGTCCTTCCAGGGTGGCTGTGAGCCCTTTCAGTTTGGGAGGGAGTGCCTCTTGCTCCTGTCAGCCTTGCAGCTGCTCTGGGTACACACACATGCCCCTTTCCCTCTTATTTCTGAACTCAGAGCAGCAGTACAGCATCTCCTGCCTGCCTGCAGTCCTGTCACTTTGTAACACTCAGTGAGAGAAGCAGCTGGCCAGCATCCATCTCCCTCATTCCCTACACATGTCACAGAACTGCTAAGAAGTAATTTATCTGGTGGCAATTATCCACATCTTAATAGACCAGAATCATCCTATCCTCATTCCACGTGTGTGTGACTAGGCACCTGAGGGGGAAACTTGGGCTTAGTCATAATTTATCCTTCCTGAAGCTGTTGTGACGAAGATAATCTGGGCCTAAGGAAACATGCCTGATCTAAGGAGAGGTGGAAGTGCCTAAAGCTAAGCCTTTCCTCCCTTAAGACTGCTTTGAAATGACAGGGACCTGAGAGAATTTGACAGAGGCGGGGGGACCTACAAGATGAGGGTGAGCAGAGCAAAGGAGACAAGTGATAGCCCCTTTTCAGGGCTCAGGTACTCTGCTCTGCTTTCTGGTCTCTGTGGTAACTAAAGCATCCTAGGAAAGAGGCAGCAACTCCAGGATCTCTTCTAAAAACTCCAGATCTTATTCCAGAGTTATAATCACTCAACTTTGAAGCTATCCATGTTAATGAAGAATTACCAGATTACTGGACAGCCCTTTATCACATCATGATTCTGAAAAACATGTTTCCATTAACACAGTAAATTCCACATCTCTGTAACACAAACAAAAATGAATTTACCTTTCTTCTACTATTCCACAAAGTCCTAGATATAACGTTTATACACCATACCCCTTTAAAAACATACCACAGCAAAAACCTGTGTTTATGTTTCAGGTTTTGTAAAACAAAAAGGAACCAAAATACTTCTATAAGTTTTTGTAGCTGTTGCTGAGGGGCTCAACATTCTGGCAGAGATAAATTCAGTAATTGCTATCACCAGATTCAGCCTTGTGAAAAAAAGCATTCATGAAGAAAAATGGCTAAATGCACAGGCTCATGAATCATGGATGAATCAGTTCTCATGGCTGATCTTCAAAAATCTAAGGACCAAACATGAGTCATGCCATTGAGAGAAGATTCATACCTGTCCATCAGACATCAAATACACCAGATGTTTTCTCCAAACATCTGAAACGCCAATAAGTGAAATCCTGTCTTCACTGTGTTCCGAAGCCACTCCTATGAATCTAGAAAGGTTAAAGATTGTCCTTTCATGTTCCCTCAACAAAGAAGAATTTGGGAGGGAATATATTATATGGTCCTAAGCAACATATATTGACATATCAAATTGGCTTTAGGATTGTTTGTTTAAAGAAGGTAGCCAAGAAGATTACAAAACATTACAAAAAAGAAATAGAAAATAAGCACAGGAATGGGAGATTATAACAATCCTTCAAATAATTCATTTAAGAGCTAGAAAGGAAACCTTGGCGGAAAACTGGACTGTGTCTTCCCAAATCTGTAAATGTGTCAAGCTAATACCCCATAGCCCAAAAATTGTTTCAGGTTTCCTCACCCTTAGCCAGCACTCTTCCCGATGGAAGCCTGACTGGGACCTTCTGAATTAGAATTTATCACTTTCTTTGATACTTCATCCACACTAGCCAATGTTCTGAGCCCTCAGGAGAGTCCCAAAACCTTTATGTGCAAATCATGCTGAGTTCTTTGAAAATGAAAGACCTCCTCTTGCTCATAAGCAATCACAACTACATGTATTGTTGAGGATGACATCTCACCAACACTTCACAGAGTAGCATTAAATGATTCCCAACTTTACCAGAAAAAACAACATTAATGTTTTCTTACACTCTTTGATTTGCTTAGTACCAGTGGCTCTGACTAAGGAATATGCTGCTGTATTTAACATCCCTCAGGTTTTTCAGATGGTGTGTAGAGTAACCAAATCCATTAATATGCCCTTTTTAACCTTAAACTCTGTGATATTCAATTCACTTTTTAAGTCCATCTGGGTTCTTGAAGTGGGAATGCAAATATCCCTTTCCCACCACTACAGATTCTCCTAGTTTTTTGTTCTTGGAATATTTCACAAACATTCCCTCACTTCTTGAATATGGCAAATCCAGGAATATGAACCAAGAAAATGTTCTTCCACAACTGATCCCTAAGCTACCAAGAACCCCCTCAGGCTGACACTCGCCCTCAGTGCTGCCCATCAAGGTCATCCCCAGCTTTAGCCTGTACTCATCCACAACTACATTTTTTTGAAGCGGTTTTAAAAATACAAGCAAAAACTGTAATGCAAAGCATGCTATTATTAAGGGCAGATAAGTTTTTTTTAATTGTCCAACCATTCAGTTTCTTAAATAACAGGACTAGAAATCTTAGCTTGGAATGCCACCCAACCCCAATAAACTGAGGTTCCTTCACACCCTGAGGTAAAAAAAATAAAATTAGAAAACATTCCAAGCAAAAATAAACTAACATTAGATAGTTACCAAATGTACCTGGTGCAGGTGCCTGGCAATGGCAGCAGGGTGGTCACAGAGGGAACTCTGTGAGGGGACGGGGGGGCAGCTCTGTGAGGGAACGGTGGGAGGCCTTGTGAGGGAATGGTGGGAGCAGCTCTGTGAGGGAATAGCGGGGGGACAGCTCTGTCAGGAAATGGGGGAAGCAGATCGGTGAGGGAATGGTGGAGGACAGCTCCGTGAGGGGACGGTGAGGGACAGCTCCGTGTGAGGGGACGGTGAGGGACAGCTCCGTGTGAGGGGAGCTGGTGCTGGCGTGGGCTGGGCAGCCCCATCGGGGCATGAGGGGATGGGGTGGGATGAAAGGTTGAAGGTGAACTCAGGTAAGGGCAGGGGTAGAAGGAACACCTGGTAGGTTTTGCCTTTGTTTCTCATCATTATCCAAACCCTTTTTAATTAACAATAAATTAATTTTCTCCAAGCCAAGTCCATTTAGTCTGTTTTGATTTCCCTGTCATTAGCTCACCCCATGAGCTTCCTCACTTTGTGTGCTCTCCCTGCCCTGTGAAGGGAGAAGCAGGTTCCAATATCCAAAATTTCTTCTTAACTCAACTTGATTCCCTCTCTGGCTCCTCCTATTATAGATTTTCACTCTGTTCTTCCCAGTAGCTCACTTTATCAAAACACAGCCATGTTCCCATGTGCATTAGCCATTCCTATTTCCCAGCAGGACCAAAACATGTTCATGACACTTGCTGTCTTCAACTGCAGCAGACAAAGGCTTTTTGCACAATACATTCAGCTCATTGTAAGAAAATACACAACTGGAATATACAACATGGTGTGAGAAAGTACACAACTGAAATACACTATGTGGTCCATTATGATCAAAACCAATACATGCTGCTGAAATCACACAACATTCAGAAGAATAAAGTAGCAAAGACTTTGTTTTGCTTCGCACAGCAAAATTAAATCTTCATACATAGAAAGAAATATTTTTTAGATTAAGTGTTTTGCAGGTTTTTTACACAGTTTTTCAGCACATGAAAACACAGGAGGCCTGGAACAGTCACACTAACATGCACTTCTTCCAAGCTTGTGCTTTATCCTCACAATCACCTCTCTGTTTACTTCAACCTTTTTAAAAGCCAAGATTTGAAATATAGAGAGAAGCGTATACTCACTGTAGTACTGGCAAATCTGAAGTAATCATTTTTGCAGCACTCTTGGAAGTAAGAGCTACATAGAACTTCTTCTCAAAGTTATTATTACAAGACAACTACTTGGAAACCTCTTTCATGAAAACAATGTCAAAGTCCAGTCTGTAAGAGAGAGAAAAAAATTTTTAGATGTGACTCCAGAATAGCAATACATTGAATAAAACATGCTGTCAACAAAAAAGGTCAATTTTGAAGTAGCATCACTATTAAACCACAAGAACTTTAGAATGGATGACCCAAAATAGCTTAATCCCATTCTTGCATTCAGTTTTACATTTCTGTTTAGGTAACTTAAAATAAAATAACGAAAATTTTTTTTAAAAATGTTCTGCATTACCTCCCATACTTCTTTACCACATATTTGTGTGTTAAATGGCACTACACCTATTCAATCAGACCCTCAGCTTTGTGTGACTGAATTTCACAAAATAGTCAGAAGATGTGCAAGGGTCTAACTGCAGCAGAAGGTATTTTAACTTAATGAAATTGAAGTTGTAAGTTTAAATAATAAAGTAGACTGCATCTGTGGTGTCACTACACCCACTAGTAACATTTCTCTACCCAAAAGACTAACCAAGGAGTTGACTAATGGCAGCAGATGTGACTTTACCACTAAATAATGGCACAATGTGACGGATTCAATAATCCTCACTGTAATAAAACACAGAACTGCCATTCTCATCTTCTAGAAAAAGCAAGTTCTGGAGAAGCTAAGTAGATTTGTTTCAGTCTCCCCTTTTACAAGTTCTGGGCTAATATGAAGAGCTGCATGGAGCGCTGCAGTTCAGCAATGGCAAGGAATACCAAGGACTCAACTGTGTGTTTTTAAAACATGAGATATGTTCAAACTCTTTTATTTAAATATTAATTTCCTCTCAATGGCATTTTTTCCCTGTTCACTAACAGCTTTGAACAAGTCAGGAGGAAAATCCAGCCAGGAAGAGGTAATATAACCTGCACCAAATAGAGGATCTAAATGGAAGTGCTCTCTTCCAAACAAACCGGTACAGCATATAAACTACAATTTCCATCCTACCACACACACACATCAGTGTTTATTTACCAACTGTACAGAATGAACAGACTTTTTTGCCTCTTCATATTACAGTTCCAATTAGACTCACAGTTGCATACAACTAGTTCTTCCAGTACTTACTGCTTTGTGCTACCAACAGTTTCACTTACAGTGCCTTATCATGAAATTTACATTTTTAATACCATACAATTAGCAAGCCATTTTGTTACCACATTAACAAACAAAGTCTGTTTGGAGCTAAAACCACCACTCCAGCATTAATGCTTTAAAGGATTCAACACACACGACTGGTGTAAAAGCTCTCAATACCATACAATTAGCAAGCCATTTTGTTACCAAACACATTAACAAACAAAGTCTGTTTGGGGCCAAAACCACCACTCCAGCATTAATGCTTTGAAGGGGCCAACACACTAGGCTGGTGTAAAAGCTCTGCAGTTTCACTATGAGACAGAAGTTAATCTGAGTTCTTCTTGAACAAAAATGTCATCTGTGCTATTTGTGCTATTTCCATGAGCATTTCTTTATTAAAGACACTGTTCATTACTGAGTTTTAAAGGATCTGATTGCTCCTAACAGGGCAATGACAGATCCAGTCCACAACATAAAGCATTCACTTCAGACACTGCTAAGAATTTACCATAAACAAACACAGCATTAGATCAAATTAAATTCTAAGTTGACTTCCTATATGACAAAATAAAGGCAATGTTCACATCTCTGAAATGCAGAAGTTCACTACAACTGAAACAAGACTGAAGAAAAAAGTTGGGGTTTTTTTGTACTCACATAAGCAGTCTCACATATACACACATGCTTATGCTAGCTGGATGTCAAAGGAAACCTACCCATTTCAGACCTTCAGATTATCTAATTCTAGCAGGATTCATAGCAATCTTACTTTCCAGAAAAGCCTTCTAAAGAAATTCAAGGAAATTTATGTGTGCTCCAAGTGAGGTATCTTCCACAGACATTTAGGCACATCCTGCACAACTGCTACGAGGGATTTCTTTTTTCAATTTTCCTTTTGAACCTGATCACCCTACCCAACTGCTGGCTGTGCATGCTCAGATGTAATCAGCAGCATTCAGCTGCTCTAGGGAAGTGCTCTCACACACAAGGAACAGGATACTTGCTCAGAAATAGCTTATTTGAAAAGCAAAGTCCTGACTTAGAAGTATGGAGTGAAGCGTGTAAAGAGCCAGAAGCAGAAGAGAGGACCAAGGCAGCTGACTCAGAAAACCTGACACCAGGGAACTGCAAGGGCCTGTGCTGCTTTCTCCTTGTCCTTATGCTAAACAGGAAACTGCAAAACAGGGCTGGAAGGAGCCACCCCTCTGTGGTAAAGTTCGGACCGGACCATCAGAAGACAAACTTACCCCTCTACACTCTTGTATTAATACAGCCACTGTGTGACAAAATACAAGAACTGTTTGACAACTGTGGAAAATTCATTGATCCTTGTAGACTACACAAGTATGAACCTTTGTGTTTTTCTGGTTTTAATAAAAGAAATACCTCTTTCTGAAAGATGAAGCTCTCATAACCAGGAAAATCAAACTTTCCCTCTTTCTCTCCTTCCACCTGAGAACAAAGTCATTGCTAAAAAAACATCCTGAAAGCTTGAGGCATTTAACTATTTTGTCACCCATCCTGGAGAACAGAACAGGGGGAGGAATACTTCATAATTCAGTATTTGAAGTTATTTAAACTATAATAAACACAATACAGTCTTTAACATGCAGTTAACTGCTTCTTTTAGTTTAGAAAAAAAGTCTGATGTTTTCATTCAATCCCAGTTATAATGACCTTTGTACCTTTGCAGCTTTTTGAACCTGCACCTCTATATTTTAAGTTGACATAAATTTATGCTGGTCCATTTAAAATTACCTACAGAGGAATATAAAGCAGGCAGTAGAAGACACAATTTAGTTCAAATATACAATGAGAAACAAGTAAATGTTTCCCTTTTTTACCTGTTTTCCAAGCATGCACAATAATCAGGGCAGACATAATGATCATTATATAAAACTGCCTTTATAAAAAACCTATTTTCTAGTTGATTGTTTGGTTTATTATAGTGTTTCTTCAATAACAATCTCATAATGAGCTCCGTTTTAAAAGGACTCCAGGATTTTACAACAATGAATCCAATACATGCATTCCATCAATATTTCCTGTGGTTTCTACTAAAACACAAAGCTACCCACACTTTTTTGCAGTTTTCCTTAGGTTGTTTGCCTCTCTGGTGCTGAAGTAATCCACCCATTTTAGCCAAAAACCAAACAAATTAAAAGACTGACAACATCCTGACAGAGTCCTTCCAAGCAACTCTCTGATAGCAACAAAACCAAATCAAGATAAATTAACTCTATTGTGGACTAGGTACCTACATCTTATAAAGTCGAACCAAAAGTTAAATAACAAAGAAAATCAACTACTTAATCTAGCAGTTACTACATTATTATTTCTATTGCCTAGAAGGCACTCAAAACAAAAGATAACAGGCATTAATTAGGCTGACTTCTAATACAAAATCCTTCCCTTGTTGACCAAGTCACCATATCCTTTCCAAGTGCAAAATAGAGTCAAACAGCTCACACAAATGAAGCAATGTCTTCTACAATTAACTGGTCATGCCTTTACCCCCTTCCTTCATTTCCCACTCCCAATGACTCTGCTCCCTCCCTCAGTGCTCCCTGCTGGAGTATGTGATGGAGTCATGCTCCCACACAGCACAAGAAAACAAGACATGGAAAACTCCAGTTTTTCTTAGTTTAGGGACAAGATTGGTCCCCTCAATATTCTTGCCCAAAGCCTGCATCTGACTGCAAGGAAAAGGTATTAGCATCAGCACAAACAACAATCCTGCACTGTACGCCCAGGCAGAGCTTCCATCAACCAGGTGACAGAGAAGAGAGGATGAGATGCAGGCACATTAATTGTAGCCTTCACTGCTTTATCCAATGTCTTGGGTAGACTACAGAAACCCCTCCTGCCCAGCTACCCATCTGCAAAGTCATCTGCAAAGTCAAAATAGTATCTAGAAATTGCAAACATGAATTCTAAATCCTGCAGAAATAGAAAAATAATCATCAGGAACGAACCTTGTAAAAAATTTACCAAATACCATGATGTGTTCTGCAACACTCAGGAATTTTTGTTTGCTCTGGATTAAATATTCTATAAGCATGAGCTTTATTTCTAATGGTTTGGAACTTGAAACATATTAATTCATGTTGACCCTACAGCCACTTGATTGAGAGCCAAATTAGATCACCACTTCCAGCTCAGATTTTGAAAGCACACAGCATCATTTAAGGCCAAACAAAGCATGCTCATTCAGCCCATATTTAAAATAATTTCATTTAAGTTCCATGTACAATATATATTGCACTCTATCACATTCTAGTAAGTACTTAAACCAAAATTTGAAGCCCAAGTGATAGAAAAATTATCACTGAGCACTATAGAGTTCCTCCACTACTTATGGTGCATAGCAAGCTCACTATGTGGTTTGCATCATTCCTAATCCAGTCAAACCATGACAGAAGGAAGAAAAACCAGCATCAACTAGGCTAGCACAGCATGGCCATGCTTCACTTTCTACACCCATCAAAATCATCCAGGATATATTGTTAGCAGTACCCCACATCCCTCTCCAGCGTGCCTCTGCTGTTCTTGTCAGCCATCCCAGTACAACCTGCAGTTCCCAGCCTGCAGAGGCACACCACTGTCAAATCCAAAACCTGGCAGAGCTGTTTGACACACCAGATGTTTGTGCTGCTGTTTGGGGGGAGCTGGGCAGACTGGAGCACTGGACACACTGGGATGATGTGAAGTTCAATACAATGTACACAGTGAAGACCTGTACACAAAACTGGAGTATTTAGCAGATGCTTATTACCATCGACTGAAGTTTCTTTTCTTCCATTCTTTACAGGTATCACCAGACATTTTACCCATACCTGTGGGATCAAAAACTATCTTGTGGCAACCATTAGCTGTCTATTTAAATTGCTTTCAATTGCAGTTCTTTCCTCAGTTGCACCAACATGCAGAACTG